CCCCAAAACCCCAAAACCCCAAAACCCCAAAACCCCAAAACCCCAAAACCCCAGATGGATGCTCTCATTTTGAAGCTACTTAATTATCCTCTCTTTGATCACCTCTGTGAAGCATCAAAGAGAGGTTGCTTATAGCTGAGTTTCTCTTTGAGAAATTCCTGGTGTTGTATCTATTAGTAGTGAGCCAATCGTAATCCTTCTCATTGAATGGGAAACCAGCCTCTCTCATCTTCTCAAACTCCTGAAGGTTAGAGTCTTCTAGAGGGATTGCTGATCCACGTTTGCTATTTTGTAAATCTCCAATATCATCTATCTTCGTCATCATTGAATTTCTAATTCCTTTCTGGTTATTTTCTGGGTGACCCAGGTTGGAGAAATGAGAAAGTGACTTAAAAAATTTCAGTTGATCCTCATTATTCATATTATTGAGCTGCATACGGAAGGAAGACCTCTCTTTATTGCCGTTTGAGGTTTCTCTGCTGGGCACTAATTCATTCTGAGCATTATCCTTCGACCTTGTGTTATACTTGTTTAAGGAGGTCGCGCTGAGTCTCTTGAGATAAACGCTATCAGTAATAGAATTCCTCTTCCTAGGATTGAAATTTCTAATGTTTTCTATTGCATCATTTATCTCATTGTCAGTGAGGTTATCAGGGAACCCGAAGTTGTTCTCCTTAAATGGATGAGGAGAATTCGAGAGTCTATCATCAGCAAACGATCTGCGAGGGCCTTGTCCAAATGCTGGCATGTTAAAGTCCATAAAGGGAGGATATTTCAGGGAGTTACATTCATTGTCAGTTAAGATATCTTCTTTCTTCTCTTCTCCAAATACTCCCTTCCTGAAAGGAACAGGAGACTCCACAGGAGCCTGCTTTGGAATATTGTAGAGAGTATTTTTGTTAATGTTGGCATCAAACTTCCCAGCAGTGAGTCTCCTAGGATGGTCGTTTTGTGGTGGTGCACTAACAAATGCTGAATATTGAAACTCCTTCGAACATCGTTTTATAAAATTTTCTTGAATCCTAGTACTCCTCCTTCTCATTGGAGGGGCTTCTTGTTTATAAGTAGAGGAATCATTTTTGTTTTTGCCAAGAGTACTTCTCCTTCTTGGCCTACTCTTTCATACAACCTGGCCTTCCTTGCCTTCCTCCTTCAGGATTCTGACAGGAGCTAATTTTATAGAATTCGTTGATTTCAAAAGCTCCAGGATCCTTTTAATTCTGTTCAAAGTTTCGATATTCTCAGCAGTGACATCAAAATCTTTACTAGCAGCTTTAGTTTTCCTTTTATCCTGACAATTTCTGCGACCAAGGATGTAATCTACTAGAGGGCCATCCTTGCGTCTCCTACTCTTGCCTACTTTCTTTGAAAGGATTTTAAATTCAGGGCTGTCAATTCACTGGAATATCTTGAAATCTATGTGCTCTATGAGGAACAACTCTGAGAGCATCTTTTCATTGACTTGGATTCCATCAAGCCAAATCATTTCACTCTGTACGGTTTTGAATTTATTGATGTTCCTCACATATCTCCTAAGAGTGGCATAGTACAGATTTTTGACCCAACTCTCGGTTCTGCCAGGCAGATTCTTGGCAATTTCAACCCATTTGTTGCCATATTTCTTGTAGAGATCAAAAATCTGAACCTCTTCTTCAGGAGTAATCTTGTTTTGATTTATATCTGGATTTAAGTAATTGGACCATCTTTCACGACACATTTTGCCAGTCCTAGACAAGTTTGGAAACTCCTTGTTGATCTGTGTAGCGACCTCTGGCCAGTTGACATCACTTGAGGACACTAGGGAGGTAAGGAACTTATCCTGGGTAGGTGTCCATTGCTTTCTAATGTTTGACTTTCTTCCCCTCTTCATTTTTGTATTAAGATTAAAAATTACAATAACTCTCAATTAGACAATATGAACTCGGGGTTTTGGGGTTTTGGGGTTTTGGGGTTTTGGGGTTTTGGGG